AAGAAAAAGGTGGTCAGTAGTGAAAAAGGAAAATTGCATAGTATCTGAAAGCCTTTTGTGAAAATTTATTTTTGATTGATAATCATATCGAGCAGAAGGGGTTTTTTAATTAGTCTAAAGTTCCATTTAAAATATGTATATTATGATCATTTACAGTTTGAGAGCAGGCATTGCAGTCTATAGCCATGGGCTAAATCTGGCCCACCTTATATTTTTGTAAATAAAGTTTTATTGGAACATTTGCATATTGTGTTTTAGCAACCCTTTGACAACTGTGACAGCAGAGTTAAGTATAGAGACCATCCTGGCTTGCAGTGGCTAAAATATTTACATTATGGCTCTTTGCAGTTTGCCAATCTCTGTTTTAGTGATACATATGTTTCTGTAAAAGTGTGGGGAAAATCTAGTGCGTCGGTCTTATTATCTCATGTATCTTCTACTGGGATGGTTCCCTGGTTGCACTTCAAGAGGTTTAGCTGTAAGTCATGGGCTTCCTGCTGTGAACACTGCCTAGGCTTATTCTGTGTAATCTCAGGAGCACAAGAAGTCGGCTGTGTAGGGGGAGGAGGCTCACTCTTGGCTGTCCGAAGGGGTCAGCCCTGTTGGGTTGCCTTTGAATCTTAGTGACATACTGCTGCTGGCTGCCCTCGGGCCATTATTCCTAGACTGGGGCATCTTCCACACAAACTCATGAAATGGGAGCTACTTGGGTGTGGAATGTCAAAAGGGCAGTAGAGAATCACAAAATAAAAAATTGAAGCATCACTTCCCGTGGCCATTTTGCCCCTTTCTCAAAGCCGAAAAGGAGGACATCTGTTCCTTAAAAGCTCCAGGTGTGCTTTTTGAAAGCTTTCCTTCCACAGTGACCTCTTATTCAGAATTCTTATGAGGATCAAGTGACCTCATGCATGGGGAAGCTCTTTAAATGGTGAGAAGTCTCAGAGCTGTAGGACACTGTGCTGTCCTTCATGCATTTGCTTTTAATTGTTCTCATTGTCTTCTGGAATTTTAGAGGATCCTTAACTTCTCGTACCCTATGACTAGAAGTTCTTAAATGGTGTTGTGGAATCTCTTAGAAATTATTTCCATACCTGCTGTACACATACCCTTCAAATATCTTGAAATAGCTTTTGTTAATACATAGCTCTACCGGCAGGCAGGCAGGTACTGCTGCAGCTCTAAGTGTGCACAGCTGAGATCTGTGAGCCCAGGTCTCCTTGGATGTGATGTGAGACTATCTGTTCTGGTTTGAAAAAGATAAACCCCAGGCTAGCTCCCCTGGGATTTCAACAGAGGACCAGTCTCCATGTGGGTGGGGGGTAAGCTGTATCTCACACACTGATGTTTTCTCTGAAGGGTCACTTTCCTTCTGGGATGTGGCTGCTTATGACTTCTGCCCCCATCATGCTGTCTGCAGGGGTCTGCTACCCCTGCCCCCAAGGCTTCACCAGCCCTCTATACCTGTTCTCTGTCTCTTGTTTCTGTCTCCACGAATGGTTCTTGTACCTGCCCAAGCGCTGAAGTCAGATACAACATGTCCTCCTTAACTCTCCTTTCCCTTCCTCCCATACGACACCCATGAAGCCCTTGCCAGGTTCTGGATACCAGCAGGCTTCTAATTTTAAGTAAGTGGTTGTGTATATCTGGGATTTAAGTGTTAATGGAGCACTAATGGGAGAGGCCGGGCAGGAGGGCCAGGTTATGGAGAACCTTGTTTCTTGCTGAGGTGTGAAGAGCTACTGAGGGCCACATGCAGTGTGTGGGACAGTGTGTAGTAATGTGGAGCTGGGAGACCAGAAAGAGGTGTTGTGACAGTCTGCATGGGAGGTGATGGAGCTCAGGAGGAGTGGATGGATTCGAGAACAGTCAGCAGGACTGAGTAGCTGGTTGATTGGATGGTGGGGAGAGGATGGAGAGAGAACTAGGATGACTAATGGCTGACCGTATGGGGGTTGGGTATAGCCACCAACCAAGCTGGGGGAAGCAGGGCTGTGTGTGTGCCTTTCATATTTCTTTGATTGCAGCCCGTGGGAAGAAATGAATGTTTCATGCTCAGTGAGGACCCACATCTATGCACTTGAGTCTGTAAATAATAAAGAAACACATGGTGTGATGTTGGGAAAACAGGCAAAGAGACGTGAAAGGTTTCAGGAGTTTTGAAGGGCTTTGCCTTGAAGGAATCTGTGGACGTGTTAGTTCGCAGAATAGAAGCTGCTCCCAACAGTGGAGGCATTGTCAGAGGATGTCTGCACAGCAGCATTTCTTCTTTGCTGCCGGCCATCGCCTTGAGCTTTTTTGCAGAGCAGAAGCTTGGTTTGGGTCCTTGGTGGAGAAGTTGATTAAAATGCCTGCCCAGCAGATAACGTGCAGCTGGAACTATCTTAAACTGCAAGGCTATTCCTGCTTCACTCCTGACCACATGTCTCTGTATTTAGAGAAGTAGATTAGATTAGCACACAGACTCAGTGTTCTCACTTTATACATTTTTATCTTTAATTTGTATGCTCAACTAGATCTGTTTCTGACTTAGGGCTTAATATGTTTATCTTAGAAGACTTTTGTAACCATCTATTCTTGTAGACAGAATTAGGTAAGGTCCCCTGGAAAGCTCAAAGAATGAGCTGTGCACATAATTCTTTAACCAAGGACAACTATTTGCTGTAACAATAAATACTGATGTGGGATTTCACACGGGTCCTCACATCTCACGGGAATGCTGGAGGACCCCTGACTCCCCCATCACTTTAAACTGCACTTTGTCTCTGTCTCGGTTATTTCTCTGTCTCTATTATTTCTCTATTTCTATTATTTCCAAATCTCTTGCAACAGTCCTGCCTGGAACCTGGTTTGCTGGGAGTGTTCACCAAGGTCAACTGTCTTCTGAGTGCCCCTTGTATATTACCTCGTTAATTCTCACAACCACATGAAGTGTCAGCATTTTTTCCAACTTTCCTGATGAGGAAACCGTGGCCCAGCAAGTTGAGTTACTTTCCCAAGACCTCACAGCAAATAAATGGTAGAGCTGGGATTTGAACCCTGCCTGCCTGGCTCTAGAGTGTCTGTTCTTTACCAATTTTACCATATTTCACTAGAACAGAAAAGAAAATGTATAACAAAGTAATATTTACCCTTCATCCATGTGATGCTTCCTGGTGTTAGCTATTTTATTTTATTCTATTTCATCCCAAACAATGCTGGTCAAAACCCACCACACTAGTACCTGTAGTCCTAGTTACTCAGGATCTCAGGATACTGTGCCAGGAGGATC